TCTGAAGCAGGGGTATGAAATCTTTCATGTATAACCTGTCTGTTACCAAACAAACCAGGAACCAAGATGTGGAACCGCTCTAAAGTTCTCCACTTCTACTCATAGCTGAAAGCCCATTACATTTGGTTTAAACCTTCAGTGTAGATATTTATTTGTGTTATAGACACAGTAACTTAATTAGTATGTCTGGCTCTTCTTTGTTTTCCAGATTCTGGTTATATGGGGAGCCGGACAACAAGGACCAGCAGTCAGCAGGCAAAACAGCAAACTGTGTCATTACTAGCAGAGAATGGAGGGATGAACCCTGTGAAGATCAGTATAGATGGATCTGTGAGACTCAGACACTGCATCCCAAACCACTTCATATCTGATAAATCATTTACTCTGAAGCATATACTGATAAATGACCTAACTGTATTTATAAATTACTTATTTTTAAATAATATCTTCATTAGTAAATAAGCTAAATCTGCAACTTAGCTTAAGTTGGTTAAGTTTAAATAATATTACATTTTTCTCTTTTTCATAGTCACCTGCAAATTGTCGAGTCCATGCCGGTAATTAGAATAATAAAATGCTTCTCCTGCTAACTGTGACTGTACAGACATCTGATTTACAACCACCAATGGCAATACTTTTGGTAAAATGCGCCAAGCACTGATGCGTCAATGTATTGCACTGCTACTTATGAGAGATATTTGCATAAAGTCGTGTCACAAAGCACTGGCAACCGTGAGCATCTAACAACTAGAAATTTGCTTTAAGCTCATTTAAATAACACAGTGCGCTTCAAGTGAATGACGCCCGTAACAATTCTGAAACATACGCTGACAGTATTATTGCAAACTAAAAAAAAAATTTAAAGCTCTTCATATTTTTAAAGAAAAACTGTAATTTACCTGCTTTGAATCTGAATACTTTTTCTTTAAAATTGATTTTGTATTAGTATTTTCCTTCAATTGTTATTCAGTAGTAAATTGAAATAATAAGCTGTGAGCAGAACTAAACTGTAAACACTGTAAAAGATTCTGTACTGGTTTTGAATTTTCAATGCAAATGGTTGGATCAAAATATGTCTTTGCTTGAGTGATAATTTCAACAAGACAGTCATGACACTAGGTGGCAGTAGTGTTAATCCAAACTCCCCAATCACAGTAACATTATTGTTGCCTAAATGTAATCTTAATAGCAAGACTGAATATTACAATGAATTATGCTCATTTGTGTATTAATACTATTGATTAATATTAATATTAATCAAGAATGAAGCTGAGTATCATATGATTTTAACCCTGCAGACTAGTTTAGACAGATACACTCTGTACATGCTGCTGACCTGGTTAGGTTTTCACTCTTTCCTACATTTCCAATGGGGTGGGGGGAGGTGGGAAGACCATGTGGTTTTGGCCCTTACCCTGTCTGCAGGGTGCTGCCCCTATCAGTGGCAATCATATCCTGATTGGTTGGTTCAACCTCATGTATTGGATCCTCCTTGTGACTGTAGCATGAGCTGCATACAATGTACAGGATTCCCCCAATTCTGGCAGAATAAATTTCCATGACTTGTCCAAAACTTTTCCAGGACCATAAGAAAATTTTCCAAAACCCACAAGTTTGCTTCGATTTGATGATCAAGCAGTTTCAGACAGTAATACTACAATTTTCGGAATCTGCTTACCAAATAAACACAGAGGGTGGACAACTTTCGTCAATGTGCAAATAGCGTTCAATTATTAAGAAAATTAATCCCAATATTAAAATAATTATACGCACCTTATGATTGGTAGAGGGAAAAAACAGGAAACTGTGATCAATAAAATTCAAATACGTGCAAAAAAATAAATAAAACAATAATAACTGCAATAGCAAGCAAAGAAAAAAAAAAGCAGCGATCTCAAATATTGAAATCTGTGTGGAAATGGATGTTTACCGAGGTAGTTAACTATTGACTTCCACTCGTACATTTCTGTTAGCGCGTTGTGGAACGAAGCGGGGAGAAAATGAACAAGGCTAGTTTCCAAAACTTTTCCTCTCTGTCCAAGAATTCCAAAACTTATCCAGGGCCTGGAAAAATTATTTCGAAATTCCAAAACTTTTCCAGGTTTTCCATGACCGCGGCTACCCTGAATGTACTTTTATCAACCTGAAGGCTAAGCTCTCCCAGATCACTGGATTCTCTGTGCGGAAGAAACAGGTCCACACAGAAGCCACTTTAATATAAATACCACACATTGTCTTGGTATTGGAGCTATTGCACTGTAAGGGTAACTGACATATCCATATCTAAATAAACACGCAAAAAACTGTGAAACATTGTAAATGAGCTTTAATCACAACTCACACCTGCTGAGAACCAAATTTCAGCTGCAGAAGTCGAAGCAGATTTGGTGCCATTCTGAGACAAAACCACAGTACAAAAAGTCAATAATCAATAGCGGAGATCATATCTTTATATACAGCATGAACACAGGCACATCATTTACACAGGCACATCATTTACACAGGCACATCATTTACACAGGCATACAGACCATAATCTGTTTACAATCTCTGCGTCACAGCACAGGGACCACTTGTGTGTTATCTCCTCTTGTTTTCGCTTCCTCTCATTCACAGATGTCTCTCTTTTTCTGGGCTGACCCTCTAAGTCTCATCAAAACCCAGCCCTTCTTGGAACCCAGGCTTAGGGTAAGATACGACTTCCCAGGCAGCTTGTGCTCCAGACTGGCCGTGGCCTCTCGGATTCGGAGCCAGGGATCTCAAAGTCCCCCGGGGCACACAGAGATGACAGCGAGAGCCAGGGCTTCTGCAGAAGATCCCCGGTGCAAAATGATCTGCCCTGCGTCTGCAGGTTCATGGTGCTTTCCGGAACCTTGTGAAAACCTTCGCCGCAGCTCAAGAAATAGGCACAGGTTGGACGCAGTGGCCAGTGGGGAAAAACGACACCCCAAGGATCAGTGCCCCAGCAGTGGACTAGAGGTGCTTGGTGGAATTCAAAGCAAGCTTCCGGCCGCCTCCCACCTCATCTCCACTGCCCTGTCACTGCAGCAGGTCCTGCAGCATACTAACTCTGTCCCTGTGGATTTGTGGTCTGTCAGTTATAAGACTCATGGCAGTGTGACCAGCAGAGCCCTTTGAATATCTGAGGCGTATGTCAAGGGGTCAAGGAGGACTGCACTTCACCCTGTAGCGAATTCCTCTCCATAAGGGCAACCTCTTGTGTTTGAACCCGGCTAGAAAGGGGGGAGACATACAGAGACACCTACTCGCCTCTGTCCATTCCTGAAGTCTTGTTCATCTTCCTGCTCAGAACATGGGCCTGGTCAGTGACCAGCCTGGAATTAAAAAGTAATTCTCTGAGGCTTCAGCATTTGCTCAGAGCATCTGAATGGAGACTGACCCGGGTTCAGAGGTCAAGGGTCATCTCAGGGCTCAACTGAGACCTGCAGGTCCGGGGCTGGTGGTGACCTGAGTCATACCTCAAGCTCCTGGTTGTCTGGGAGGTGGAAGCGATTGAGTTTTTCCCTCTCACGGTTGGAGATGTCCTGCTTTGTCACCCGGGACGGTTTCAAGGCATTATCCTGATTGGCTGAGGTAGGGCATGGAGGCAGGGTGAGTTCGATCTCCTCAGAGTGGCGCTGTAGCTCCGACAAAGTGGGCTGGGAGGGCGACAGGGGCACCGTCCGCTCAAGATTGCGGATGAGGGTGATGAACTCACGCTGGTTGTTGATTCCCTCATCCTGCGGCGACCGCTGCGCTTGCTGCTGCTGCAGCTGCAGCTGCAGCTTCTGCCGCCGCCTGCGCAGCTCAGACAGCAGCAGGACACAGCAGACGCAGCCAGCGGCCGTAAGCAGTGCCAACGCACCGACCAGCACCATGTACAAACTCATGCCAGCCCCTCCTGGATCCGACATGGCACCTAGAATCAAGAAAGCAATATAGGCAGAAGCAGAAAATGTGTGGTATCAAGAAAGGGAAAAAATAATGTTTAGCAACCAAAGCAACTCATTACTGTTGACTTTCGGGTCTTTTACCTGAGCAATGCTGCCCGTGACAGGCATCCTGCAGGCTCCTACATTCTTCACCATCTGGGCAACCACACAGGTAACCGCCCTCTGTGCTACGGCACGGCACCCCCTGCTGGCATGGATTGGGATTGCATAGGTCCACCACAACCTGGAGAGGCAGGTGACAAGGTGGTGGTGGGTGGAGGGGGGGTTTAAAAAGGCACCAATGAGACGGGTGGAAAATGGGAAAGACGGACCGGCTGACCAACCTCGCAGTGCGTTCCCGTGTAGCCCAACTGGCAGCGACACAACATCTCCCCTCCCTTCTGCTCCACGCAGTGACCTCCATGCAAGCAGGGGGCGCTCTCGCAGGTCCCGGGTCCCGTCTGGCAACGCTTCCCAGTAAAACCTGGCAGGCAGTGACACTTGCGGCCGGACAGAGAGTCCTGCAGGTTGCAGACGGTGAGAACAAGCCACCAAGATCCTAATGAGCAACAAGCTCATTCATTTACCCCCAGTCACAGAAAGAAAAGCAAAGATATCACAGACTTGCTGGGTCCTACCTCACAATGGCCCCCGTTTAGACATTGTCCCTGGCAGCTGGCATTCACTGTGAAGGACACATGAGTCAGTACCAAAACGATAACACTGCTACTATCAGGGGCGGATTAACGCACAGGCTAGATATGGCTTAAGCCTAGGGGCCCCACGTGTGCCAGCCTGCAAGGGGGTCCCCATTGGCGCGGAGGGGGGTGGGGTTGGGGGCCCCACAGACTACTGTAGCCTAGGGGCCTCTGTACACCTTAATCCGCCCCTGGCTACTATGGTCATTCTTTTCCATTTGTATCTGTGAAGAGTACTCCAGCATACAGGCCGATACGTGTATATCTCTTTAAACATGTATCCTCTTTTCCATGTTTTATCAGGCCGCAGGCGTCTTTTTCCAGCTTCCCACAATGATAACACATCCTCGGCCCCCCCCATTACTCACTAATGTCACAGTTGGGCCCAGTCCAGCCCGGCAAGCATTCACAGAGGTATCCTCCAATCAGGTTACGGCAGGTCCGGGCGTTGACGCACACGCCCGCCTCACATTCATTGGCATCTGAGTTGAGGACATAGAAATTTGCCCACATTCAGAATATTGGAGTTTAACTGAGAGACGGGGCATTATTTTATCTTTAACAGGGGACTCGGTTCTGGCTGAAGAATGGAAGTGCCGCACACTTCCGACACACAATCAGAGACGGCATCTGTGAGGAACCGCGTTCCTTCCCCTTCGTCAAGCAAGAACAGGCTGACATCGGCGAGGGGACTTTCGATGGCACCCAGCCCTCTGTGAAAGCAGCTTGCAGGTGTTTCCTTTGGGACCCTGATGTAGCCTCTATGGCATGACTCACGGACCCCGCTGGGCACTCGACCGTATGCGGGGGTGTGCTGGTGCTCTCACTCCACTTTATGCGATGGTGCAGACGTCGTGCACAACAACATGCCATGACACACGTCCGCATTCCATCATGCCGCAGGGGCCAGTTAATAATTCAGCAAAGTTTGGTGAATAAGCAGCCTGAGACACGTGACAGGTGGGAGGCCTCAAAAACAATGTACAGGGTATTAATAACAACAACAATAATAATAATAATCGAAATGAGAAGAAAATTATGCGGTGTGCAATAAACTGAAGCATCTCAAGCGTTTCCCTACATTGTGATTCACTTGCTGAGCAGATGCAGGTATCTGGGGAAGATGTCTGCTAGAATCCCTGCATTGGTGCATCGCTCCCGTACGGCCTGCAATACCTCAGACGGACTCCAAGATCACTGTGACCTCGTACCGTATAATCTGATGAATGGATGGATGGATGGATGGATGAAAGGATTTAATAGCTCCATTGTGCTCCATCTTAAGTTTGAATTAATAAGCGTCTTTCTGAGACATCCTCTCAAAATATTCCATCATAAATAAATAAAAGTGATTACTGGATACTTTTGAAAAATGTTTTTTTCATTCATCCTTCTCCCAACCGCTTCTCCAGGTCAGGCGGCACAGGAGGGGGGCTGTAGCCT